GATACAATACACTAATAAGGGGACAATTGTTAACATTAAGATACAACGTATTCAATACAGTCGACTCCCGGCTATTACATTGTGTTATCCATTATTTTTCTCAAGAAATAAACTTACTGTTAATAATAAGACATCATACTTTCATTTGTTACAAAGTCTGTATGATAAAGTACCAGTTTACTCTATGATTGTTAATTATAGTGTTAATAATGATCATAATAACAAAATACATGTTAAAGTAATTTCATATGATTTAAATGGCAAGCTATTGAATTTCCGAAATCATTTGCCTGTTACTTCAATTAGGATTAGTAGTTTGTGTAAGTACTATACAAATAGGGGTTTTACATTATACGATTATTATGTGTTGCATTAAAAATTATAGTAGCTGAGCCACAATTATGTAAGACCTATTTTAGTGACATGAATAGCGACTATTACTATAATATGACACTATTGGAGCCATACATTACATTTGAAGTAGTCCTGACCAACAAATGGTTATCGCATATGCCGTTTAGGGTCTATATCCATTCACCTAAAAGTCTGGCATTTTATAGTCAAAACATTGAAATAAGTATGGGTGAGGACATGGACGTGGAGTACTCGCAGTATCTGACAAAACTATTGCCACCACCCCTTGAAACTAATTGTCGCAACTATGACCTGGATCATTATAAAATAAATAATACAAATATGAATATACAACTCATGAGAACTGATTGCATTGCTAATTGTATCATAAGATTATTGAGACTAAAATGTCAAATGAAATGTATAGTACCTCCGACTGCCTCCGAGCTAAACATGATTAGCGCAAGGTATTTTCAAATATATGACCAGGACAAGTTGTGTAAACTATCTCTTCAGCGTAAATTGGCATCAACATAATATTTGTTAATATATTAAAACAAATAAGCAACAGTTGTCTATACAGGATTTTTAACAGACCTATCAGAAATACTAAATGTTTAATTTAAATGGAGAAAACATAATTATTTAAATGTATTTAGACTAATGGTAAGGCATAGCGAGAGACCAGATCATGTGATCAAGCACATTCCCGAAATGACATTCATATCACTTATATCTGGAATGGGAGGGCTAACGGGTATGTGGCTCGGAGTGTCTGTACTTTTCATTGGTGAATCAATTATGAATTTTATTTAAATTTTAACCCTAATATTAAAGTTTTAAGTCTGAATGTAATTACTAATTATTTGATTCTAATAATGTTATAAAAGTTTGTGCATTGCTTATTTCATATAATTATAATAATAATAAATTATTTTATTTTAATAATAAATTAAGTACTAAATAAATAAATTAATATTAAGACCAAGGATAAATAAGTTAAAGTATACGATAGAATCGGTGGTATTTGACCAATATTTGGTTCAGTTGGCGGGGGGTCAGTAGGGAATGGCGAGTCTGTGACCCCTCCCGATTGATGAACCTGGTTATGCTCATCCATCCACACCGTTATGCCGCCCTTCATGACCAGTTCCCTTGGTTCTTCCTTACAGTTGTAGTATATATCGCATTGATACAGACCCAGAGCATTCACACCGGCATTCTTGATGACAAACCAACCCTTTTGTTGTTTGGGCTCTAAGTCAAGACCAGAAGTCCTATTGAGTTCTGGCGCTAAATAATTCATAAAATGTATGTTTAAATACAAAGTATTAGTAGTTTAATCTTAATATAAATTACTAACTCAATACCAGGATATTACATTCACTTGAATAAGATTTAATTAATATTTTTGCAATTACTTATTAACATGGAAAAACTGTAACTAATTTTTATTAATTGTTTTACTCACTCTCTCCCGCGCTCTGGTCCCATGTGTATAGAGATATGTTATTCAATTTGATCGTAAGTCCCGTAAAATCCTCGTAATATGTGCCATAATCATCCATCCCATAGTAACATTTAACATCCAGATCGAGTTTGTCATTTTGTGTAATGTCTATGGCAAACAACTCGATATGAGCACATTCAGTATGCGTCAATGTTAACACTACTAGTAAACATGTTACACTTAAATTTGATATAAATAACTCCATAATTAAATTTTTAATAGACAATCATAGTTGTTATACACTATAATAGATTGGCTGAAACAAAATGTTATACTGTATGTAACTGTAAGTTAGTAATTTATAAAAGTTATGGATTATCTAATATTACTATGAATTCACTTGATGTAGGTTTATCTGAATTAACGTTTCTGCCAATAAATACCAATACAATGAATATTTGAGAGGTGACATTAACACTCAATATTATATACTAGAGACTTATTGCACTTATAATTGATAATATATAATAAATTATGATTGATCATTCTAATCTAATCTTTATAAATAATATTGTTTTAAATAAATTTATAAACTAATTTCTTATGTTTATTTATTTATCAATTTATTGAAAAATTTTTAAATGTTCATTGTTCATAGCTGCATCAAATATATTACACTAATAGTATTTTGTATAATGATAATTATAAATAAAAGTATATTTGTATCACATGTTCATCACTTTAGTGGTGAATATAAGAAATAAAGTCATAACAATGGATGAGATGCCCTGAGATGTCTTTGCCGTATTGGGCGAGTAGTGGTCTACGGTCTGATTGCGGACAACGTGATTGTTATCCATATACACCTGTATCGCTCCCTCCATTTGTAAACTGTACCCTTTTTGGACCTTGTTGCTATAGTAGTCGATATCACACTGGTACATTCCCATTGCACTGGCACCGGCATTTTTGATGACAAACCGACCCCTTTGTGGTTTCATTTCTAATTGTAGTCCTAAGTTGTTATTTACCTCTGGCTCTAAATAATTGAAAATTATATTAAATTGGGTAATTCTTATTATTTATTATAAAAATTATTTGTTTAATAAAATAAAAAGTTTTCTTTGGTTTATTTAATCTCAATCTGTAGATATTATATACAGTAAATTACACTACTGTAGTGCATTTACATTAAAAATTAAATTTATGTTAATAAGGGAATTGTTGACGTTTAATTTAGTTTGCTATACATGATTGCCAAATAAAATAAAAATAACAGTATTCATTTGAAGTTTTCAAAGTCATAAATGAAACTATTTTAATAAAAATGTTTAAAACATTGTTATTATTATACACTATAATATTAGGTTAAATACAATGAAATAACAACTTACTTTTGCCATTCTTTTGATCCCAAGTATAAACAGCCGTTCCGTTTAATTTGATGACTAATTTATGAAAGTCTTCATTTTCAACATCCATTTCCCAAAAACATTTCACATCTATTTCCACAGGAGTTCCTAGTGATGGTTCAACTAAAAACTCATCGACCTGGGCACATTCACTCACATTGCTTATTATAAAAAATAAACTAGCTACAGCTATAACATTTGTTGGAATCATTTTTTATAAATATAAAAATTATATAAATATATAATTAAAACATAAGTAGATATTGAAATATAAAAATAATACTGGACTTGATTTGAAAAGTTTTCTGTATAAATCACTAGCATTTATAAAAGGGATATAAGTTTTGTATTTTCATTTATGGGAGTTTATATCTATCAGCCCTTTGTTTAGCACTTATCTTAATTGCAGTTCTTATCATATAATAACAAAAAACTGCTCACTTTTGGTGATTCATAAAACTAATACCCCCCAAGAATACTGTCATTTACCATGTGCATACAAATATTATACTTTTTTTAAAATATATATTAAATTTAAATAATATTAAAATTCATAATAAAAATAAAATTAATTTATATTTTCTGGACAACAAAGTGGCAAATTATTTTTGAACGTAGACACAATAAGTGATTATTAATAACTCTAATAAATATTGCATTCATTTTCCAAAATACTGTGTAAGTAAGAGATTATTTGGTTAGTAATCGGGAATGTTATCAATTATTAGTCACTATTCTTATCGAGAATAAAGAATTTAATACTAATAATAATGAAAGTATTTTTTGTAGCAAAGTTCTCAACGCTATCTGTACTCTTATTTTAATATAATATTTAACACAAACATTGCAAAAAACGATTATTAATTTTTCATTTATTCATGTATAAGAAGTGTTCATTAAGTTTTAGTTATTGAAAATATTTTAAATACTAGTTTGTCATGTATGTCATTTAAAAACATGTGAGTTATTGTGAAAATAGGCAAATAAATAGCACTCTCCATATATGCCGTCCCATTCATCACACCTATTGTGTTGCTATCACTGACTACTATAAAAAATAATCACATAATTATTTAAAAGATTTGTCTACAATGATGGAATTTGTATTGTAAAAAACAAAAAACCTGTCCCTGATATTTATATTATTATTGATACTCTGGAAATTATATTGTTTTTATAAGTGCTATGATAAGGTAAATAAAATATTTTACTAAAATATCAATTTTTAATGTTTAATATTGATTTTAATATAGATTGTGATAATAAGTCATCAAATGTGGCAACAAGTGCCATACAATCTAAAGTTTTGTTAATAATTTTATATTTACTAAAAATTTGTTATCATTATTTCTGTTTATTATGATTATATTTTTGAGGGCCAGGAGGCTATGACTGACCAATTAATAAAAATTGATTTTAATATAGATTGTGATAATAAGTCATCAAATGTGGCAACAAGTGCCATACAATCTAAAGTTTTGTTAATAATTTTATATTTACTAAAAATTTGTTATCATTATTTCTGTTTATTATGATACTTTATTGAAATTAACTTTTATTAAAATATTTGTTATAAAAATATTTAATTTTAAATTGTAAATTTGTTATATTTAACATAAAATTTTGTTATATTAATTAAAAATAATTTACACTAATTGTATCAAATTCTTAATGGAAATACACTATAAATAATATATTTTTAAATAAAAAACTAATTTAATAGATCCATTTATCACATGCATATCTGAATAATATTATATTAAATATTATACAATAATTGAAAAATATAAAACATTTTAAAGGTTAATTATTTTATACAGTATATTATACAGTATAATATGGCACTAAAATAAATTAATGACAAAATTAAATCAAATAAGCCTTTCCAATGGCGGGAATTTTAGGCACTCCGGGGCCTCATTGCCAGTCATTTCTTTGGAGGGGGAGTACGTGCCTCGTGTGGCCCGTGCCTTACGGATGTGTCGCACCATTACTACGGATACCACAAACAGTGCCACTACGAGGACACACCCCATCGTTAGTATCAGGATAAATATGACACTCATTATTAGATCTAAATAATTAATATAATATTATTAAACATTAAAAATTGATATTTTAGTATAATATTTTATTTACCTTATCATAGCACTTATAAAAACAATATAATTTCCAGAGTATCAATAATAATATAAATATCAGGGACAGGTATTTTGTTTTTTATAATACAAATGCCATCATTGTAGACAAATCTTTTAAATAATTATGTGATTATTTTTTATAGTAGTCAATGATAGCAACACAATAGGTGTGATGAATGGGACGGCATATATGGAGAATGCTATTTATTTGTCTATTTTCACAATAACTCACATGTTTTTAAATGACATACTTGACAAACAAGTATTTAAAATATTTTCCATAACTAAAACTTAATGAACACTTCTTATACATTAATAAATGAAAAATTAATAATCATTTTTTGCAATGTTTGTGTTAAATATTATATTAAACTAAGAGTACAGATAGCGTTCAGGACTTTGTTACAAAAAATACTTTCATTATTATTAGTATTAAATTCTTTATTCCCGATAAGAATAATGACTAATAATTGATAACATTCCCGATTACTAACGAAATAATCTCCACTTACACAGTATTTTGGAAAATAAATGCAATATTTATTAGAGTTATTAATAAGAACTTATTGTGTCTATGTTAAAAAACAATTAGTCACTTTGTTGTATAGAAAATATAAATTAAATATTATTTTTATCATGAATTTGTAATATTATTTAAATTTAAATATTTTTTAAAAAACAAGTATAATATTTGTATGTACATGGTAAATTACAGTATTCTTGGGGAGTATTAGTTGTATGAATCACCAAAAAAGTGAGCAGTTTTTGGTATTTTATGATAAGGACTGCAATTAAGATAAGTGCTAAACAAAGGGCTGATAAATATAAACTCACATAAATTAAAATACAAAACTTATATCCCTTTTATAAATGCTAGTGATTTATACAGAAAACTTTTAAAATCAAGTCCAGTATTATTTTTATATTTCAATATCTACTTATATTTTACCAAAAAGAAAAGTTTTAATTAATATTTATATAATTTTTATATTTATAAATAAAAAATGGTTCCAACAAATGTTATAGCTGTAGCTAGCTTATTTTTTATAATAATCAATGTGAGTGAATGTGCCCGGGTCGATGAGTTTTTAATTGAACCATCACCACAAACTCCTATGGAAATAGATGTGAAATGTTTTTGGGAAATGGATGTTGAAAATGATGAAGACTTTCATAAACTAGTCATCAAATTAAACGGGACGGCTGTTTATACCTGGGATCAAGAGAATGGCAAAAGTAAGTTGTCATTTCATTTTATTTAACCTAATATTAGAGTCTTATTGTATAATATTTATCCAATACTTTGTATAATAATAACAATGTTTTAAACATATTTATTAAAATAGTTTCATTTATGACTTTAAAACCTAAAATGAATACTGTTATTATTATATTATTTGACAATCATGTATAGCAAACTAAATTAAACATCAACAATTCTCTTATTAACATAATTTAATTTTTAATATAAGTGCAGTACAGTAGTGTAAGTATAATATCTACAGATTGAGATTAAATAATACAAAGAAAACTTTTGATTTTATTAACCAAATAATTTTTATAATAAATCATAAGAATTACCAAATTTAATATAATTTTAAATTATTTAGAGCCGGAGGTAAATAACAACTTAGGACTACAATTAGAAATGAAACCACAAAGGGGTCGGTTTGTCATCAAAAATGCCGGTGCCAGTGCAATGGGAATGTACCAGTGTGATATCGACTACTATAGCAACAAGGTCGAAAAAAGGTACAGTTTACAAATGGAGGGCGCGATACAGGTGTATATGGATAACAACCACGAGATCCGCACTCAGCCCGTAGACCACTACTCGCCCAATACGGCAAAGACATCTCAGGGCATCTCATCCATTGTCATGACTTTATTTCTTATATTCACCACTAAAGTGATGAACATGTGATACAAATATACTTTTATTTATAATTATCATTATACAACATACTATTAGTGTAATATATTTAATGCAGCTATGAACAATATTGTAAATTTTTAAAAAGTTATTTAACTATTTATTTATTTGTATTCTTTAATCAAATATTTAAATAAATTTTGTTATAATAAATATTTCTAATCTAATCTTACTAGTTAGTATTAAATAATATATAAATCAATTATAAGTGCAATAAGTCTCTAGTATATAATATTGAGTGTTAATGTCACCTCTCAAATATTCATTGTATTGGTATTTATTGGCAGAAACGTTAATTCAGATAAACCTACATCAAGTGAATTCATAGTAATATTAGATAATCCATAACTTTTATAAATTACTAACTTACAGTTACATACAGTATAACATTTTGTTTGAGCCAATCTATTATAGTGTATAACAACTATGATTGTCTATTAAAAATTTAATTATGGAGTTATTTATATCAAATTTAAGTGTAACATGTTTACTAGTAGTGTTAACATTGACGCATACTGAATGTGCTCATATCGAGTTGTTTGCCATAGACATTACACAAAATGACAAACTCGATCTGGATGTTAAATGTTACTATGGGATGGATGATTATGGCACATATTACGAGGATTTTACGGGACTTACGATCAAATTGAATAACATATCTCTATACACATGGGACCAGAGCGCGGGAGAGAGTGAGTAAAACAATTAATAAAAATTAGTTACAGTTTTTCCATGTTAATAAGTAATTGCAAAAATATTAATTAAATCTTATTCAAGTGAATGTAATATCCTGGTATTGAGTTAGTAATTTATATTAAGATTAAACTACTAATACTTTGTATTTAAACATACATTTTATGAATTATTTAGCGCCAGAACTCAATAGGACTTCTGGTCTTGACTTAGAGCCCAAACAACAAAAGGGTTGGTTTGTCATCAAGAATGCCGGTGTGAATGCTCTGGGTCTGTATCAATGCGATATATACTACAACTGTAAGGAAGAACCAAGGGAACTGGTCATGAAGGGCGGCATAACGGTGTGGATGGATGAGCATAACCAGGTTCATCAATCGGGAGGGGTCACAGACTCGCCATTCCCTACTGACCCCCCGCCAACTGAACCAAATATTGGTCAAATACCACCGATTCTATCGTATACTTTAACTTATTTATCCTTGGTCTTAATATTAATTTATTTATTTAGTACTTAATTTATTATTAAAATAAAATAATTTATTATTATTATAATTATATGAAATAAGCAATGCACAAACTTTTATAACATTATTAGAATAAAATAATTAGTAATTACATTCAGACTTAAAACTTTAATATTAGGGTTAAAATTTAAATAAAATTCATAATTGATTCACCAATGAAAAGTACAGACACTCCGAGCCACATACCCGTTAGCCCTCCCATTCCAGATATAAGTGATATGAATGTCATTTCGGGAATGTGCTTGATCACATGATCTGGTCTCTCGCTATGCCTTACCATTAGTCTAAATACATTTAAATAATTATGTTTTCTGGTAAATTTAATTTGTAAATCATAAAGACTATCCAGACAATTTTTAGGACATATCTGTTGACAACGAATAAACAAAATTATATAATTGTTTATAATACAACTACGGTTAAAT